AACTGTGAGTTGGACAGGTGCAAAAAGAAAATTGAAATTTGACCATGACCTTGTACCGGTTTTTCTGACCTGGTGACATGACCCAAGGTCACCCGGACCTGAAATTTTCAGGTCATATGTAACAAGGTTGCCCCATAAGCTTTGCCAAATTTGGCGGCGCTACGCGCCGCCGTTTTTACGCTATCTTCGAAAAACCTTGTGGGGGTCGCATCGACCCCCCCTGCCAGGGCGAGGGTTAAATAAAAATGGTAATTTTCTTATCCAAACCGTGTGTATTTTTGCCATGTCTGATGAAAAGCGTTGCACGTTAGATGATGCACCTTTTTTATTCTGATTCGACAATCATTTTCAAATTAATTGCAGCCCTCTCGTAGCGAATCGCTTGGCTGTGCACTGCATGGTGGTTTAAAATGTGTCACAGCCCAAATTTCCCATTTGCACCCCACATGGCCGCAAATAGCTCAAGAGGGGAAAGGAATGGGAGGAGAAAGAAGGGAAATTGAGGGGTTGCTGAAGCTTGCGATGTGTGGCGGGTGATACCAATAGTCAGGGCAGACTGAAGGGGTGCCGAATCCAGCGCAGGACTCGAATACAATACCTATATACACTGAGAAAAATCCTGACTCCGCATGACACCCCCAGGGGGAGTTCACCAAAACGACACCCCAAAACTCCCAGGTGGTATTCCTCATTACAGCCCCTCCAAAACTCTCCATTACACCCCAAAACTTCTCTCGAGAAACTCTCTGTGACTCTCCCTACCGTTTTAGAAAACTCTTCATTACTCTCCTATACCCTATCAAAACAAACAACATACTCCCTGAAACTCCCTTCCATTACTCTCAATGACTCTCCTACTGCCTCATAATTACTCCCGATTACTCCATTCCATTATTCCCCGAAACTCCGTTTACATCTTCATGGTATACCTCTTGTTACTCCCCATTAAACTCACCCAAACTTCCCATCATTCCACTCCAGCCCCTCCCCCCCCCCCCCCGAAAATAAATATTGGACGAATAGCGTACCCACCCAAAGCTCGTGTACCGAAGCACAGATAAAAATATATTTCAAGAAATGTGTATTCATAGTCCGGGGCGGTGGGAGGCTTAAAAAATTAACAAACGCTTTCGACATCCCGCCGCGGCACGCTCTCCGGGGATCTCACTCCATATGCTTCACGGTCGCGAGTTTTGATGTTAAGAATCCAAAAGGCGGCCTACCACAGCAGGAATGCTTGGTCTGGTGGTGCCGCTACCCTACCACCTCCTGGGCTTCGACGAATACTGCGTCTTCTTCGTCCGGCTCTCCTTTCACGATGGTGGGATGGATATTTTGCTGGCCTCCGTTGGCTTCCGACGTGTCTTGCGGGATGCGCTGCAGGCTCTTCAGCTCATCCCCTGGAAAAATTTAATAACCATGAAATTATAGGTACACTTAACATTGCGTGGGAGGAAATGGAGGAGAAAGAAAAAAAGAGAAGGAGGGAAATAATGAAGGAGAAAGGGAGGGAAGGAGGGGAGGGATGAAGGAAGGAAGGAAGGAAAGAAGGAAGGAAGGAAGGAAGGAAGGAAGGAAGGGAGGGATAGAGGGAGAAAGAAAGGGAGAGAGAGGGGAGGGAAAGAGGGAGTGAGGAAGGAAGCGAGGAAAGATGGAAGGAAGAAATGAGGGAGGAGACTGAGAGGTAGGCAGATGAGACAAGATGGACGAGACGAGACATACGCGACCTGACGTGTTGGCACTGATACTGCATTTCGGCACATAATGTCAAAATAATGAAAGCAAGAGATTGCAAAGTTAGCATACTTTTTATGCACTACAATTTTGATAATGTTAAGTTTCAGTGAAAGTCTAAAGGGCAAGTTAACAGCCTCCATCTTAGTTGCAGACACAGTAGGGCAATGCTATAAAACGTACCTACTTGAACGCTCAAAAAGTTGAGCAGGTCGCTAAAAATAAGCTAAAGACGTTATACGCTGCATAGGTACCCGTGTTAACATTAAAGAACGAAATTCAATTATGGACACTTTCTAAAAACATACAACAATTTAGACAAAATTTATTTAAACATGCTGGTTTGTCGGTGGTTTTCATCATTCATGGGCAGTGGCAGTGGTAGGTAAGTAGGTAACTGATTTTATATATATATAGGGGCTAGGAAAATCAAGGCTTTTATGCCAAGATAGTTTAATTTTCTGGCTCTGCTTTGAAAGCCCTTCAAATTTGATATTTGTCATTGACTCATTGGTATGGATATTAAAATATTTGGGCAATAACAATAAGATCCATGACGTGTAAAGCTTGTGTAATCCTAACTTTCCAATTTATTCGAGGGAAATAATGTATGATATTTGCAAATACCTAGAAACTCAGAGCATGCTGTTTCCGATCTTTATCTCACTCAGGAACGAAAGAAATCAATTACCGTTACAGAGACCATTCCAGCCCATCAAGAACATGGGGTTACCATATGTTCTCATCACAGCATTATAACACTTTGCACTATAAAAGCATGATGGGAAATACAGCTAAGCTTACCTTTAAATCCAAAGTAAGGTCCAATTATCCGTCACTGTATAGGTCAGGTCCGTCTAAGTCAACACGCTCTTCACTAACACCTCGCCCGCCGCCCCGCACAACGTGCTGTGTACTACGCGCAAAAGATGGCGGCCACCGGCAGCCTTGCGACGTATGCTAAAACCCCTTCGTAACTCCCCTTTTACTCCTGTCGGAACGTTCGGGAAAAGTTTTTCGGGAATAATGGAGAGTTGCGTCACAGTGTTATGGGGTGTCACACATGGAGTCATTTCGCCATCCATTAAGAACTCTTGAAAACTCTTTCGCAAAATGAGGAAGGCTCGAAGTTACCCTAGAACACACTCAATAACTCTGCTGGAAAGGGAGTTATCAATGGTTTTAAGGAGTTTTCAGGGGAGCATTTTCAAGAGTTTTGACCCATATGGAGTCAATTTTTTTTCTCAGTGTACGGGATAACCTCCAAAAAATGGGTTTTCGCCTTATTTTCACCTTTGGTGCATTACGTGATCAGCTTCTACAAATATAAACGACAAACGTGTTGGCTAAATGCTCTTGCAGTGATTAACCCGCGCCCGGCTGGGGGTCCTGGATTTCCACGCCCTGCTGGGGGGGGGGGGGGGTGTTTGAACACCCCCCCCCTTCTAACTCGGCTCCTGGGCCACGTAGCGATACGCAGAAGGCGGCGTTCGAAAGAGCGTCAAAAATAATGAGGAAATCACTTCGGTCAATTTTTTGGTCAGGTCAAAGGTCAGGTCACCAGAGGTCATTGAAGGCAAAATTTCGCCGATTTCCAGGTCGAATGTCGACAATTTCTAAGAAGCCAACGCATAACTCGGGAACCAATAGAGCTACAGCGCCGCGGAAAAGCGCATTCGATAGCCCTATTAACGCCCTTTCTGAGTAATTTTCTCAGATTTGACCTAACGTCAACGGTTTTGCCTGCAGGGGACAAAAACTGCAAAAATAGCCGATTTTTTCGGAAACAGTTTTTCTGCAATAACTTTTGACCCAAGCCTTGTACGAGCTTACTTTTACCGGCATCGTGTTCCTCTCGTCAAGACGCATCGAATGAACTATAACTTGACCTTGAAAGGTCAACTTGAAAATTTGACCTCAGGTCAAGGTCATGACCTGACCGGAAAGGGTCATGTTGCATATCAGTCGATCCGTATCGTCGAGCTGAACACATCTAAGGCGTTTACATCGCTCTAGCATGCCTCTATCAAAAGTTATTTGCGAAAAACTGTTAGATACCATTCGTGACCTAAGATGACCTCAGGGCATAAACAGGGGTCACGGACACCATTTTCATGTTCAGTGTGTCTAAACCACTTGTAATTCAGTGTTTGGGAGTGTTTATAATGTCTTTCGTCAAAAAGAGGCGCATTTCAATTTTCTCCCATTGACTTATAATGGGGAGGTCGCAAAATTGACCTGACCTTAGGTCATCGATATCAAAATTCTGAGATATACATTTTGTACATGCTATTGCTCTTAGCAATCGCTGAAAGTTTCAAAGCGATCGGTCACTTGGTGTAGCTTTGACAGACATTGAAACTTTTTATGAGGTGAGGTCACTTCAAGTGACCTGGTGACCTGACCTTGAATGACCTTGGTCTGAAATTTTCACAACATGTGTAGAATTGATGTATGATAAGGTGTACCAAAAACGGCGGCGCTCCGCGCCGCCGTTTTTGAGATATTCGCGAAAAACCACAAGGGGGGTGTTCAAACACCCCCCCCCCAGCAGGGCGCGGGTTAAGTGATTTGCGTATAAGTTATGTTTGAGTGCCTTATTTAATGTTTTCGAGCGTGACATTTTAGCCATTTTTACTATGGGGAAACCCATAGGCCTATTAGCGACCATCCCCGGTCGCTAATCGGGACGAGTTCCCTATTTGCGTTTTTTTTTGCAATGGTTGGCAAAAATGTTCACTACAAATAAATTTGATGATATTGGGACAGAAAATGAATAGATTCTGTGATACGAAAATGAACAATCTCTCCGAAAAACAATCCAGTAATACAGTGGCACCCATAAAGCGTGAGCAATGACGGTTTAGATTAAGGGGGCGCTAATTAGGCATCTTACTCGTACCCTATTTGCAACGCAAAGCCTTGGAACGCACAAGGGATCGTTTCAGGCAAGATAAAAACATCTCCATTATGAGCTTCAATATCATGATATGGATTTCACTAGAAATGTCCGGAGTCGGAGTCGGAGTCGGAGTTGGAGTCGGAGTCGGTTTTTTAAGCCGGAGTCTCAGTCGAAGTCGGAGTCACACTAAAATCTATCGACTCCGCACGCAGCCCTGGTTGAAGCGTCTCAAAATAATATTTTAAGAATTTAGGGAAAAAATTTTAGCCGATGCAAATAATCAATAATTCCGAATATTTCGACCAGGAAGCATGCACACGTAATCGGTAACCTTAACGAACAAGCTCACAGTCAAAGGGCTCACCTGATCTGTGGCCGCCCGCGGCTGTTGATCCGAGATCGTTCCGTGCCTGCGGCGAGATCGTCCCGTGTCTGCGGCGCCCGCGCTCACAACAAAGTTCGTGCTAGGACCGCGTCTTCTCCTGAGGGCTCCCGTCCGCCAGAGGGCAGAGATGGCGCCCTCGAAACCCTTCTCTGAGTCGATTGGACGAGTAGAAACGATGACAACACGGGGCGGGAGTCAGGACGGGTTAATTTGTGACGTCAGGAGGGCAGTTTGTGACGTTACAGGTATGGACAGATGGACACGGTGGTTAGCTGAGGGTGCAGAGAGAGAGAGAGAGAGAGAGAGAGAGAGAGAGAGAGAGAGAGAGAGAGAGAGAGAGAGAGAGAGAGAGAGGAGAGAGAGAAATAGAGAGAGAGAAGAGAGAGGAGAGAGAAAGAAGAGAGAGAGAAAGAAAGAGAGGAGATAGAAATAGAGAGAGAGAGAGGAGAGAGAAGAGAGAGAGCGGGGAAAGAGAGGATAGAGAGGGAGAGAGAGGAGAGAGAGAGAGAGAGAGAGAGAGAGAGAGAGAGAGAGAGAGAGAGAGAGTGTGTTCTGTTTCAGTCAGGGTTCGAAGCGCGACGGGCGCTTGACGTTTATGAGCCTCCTGATAGGTATGGTTGCGGCTGGTAGCAGGCCGTAGACAGGCAAAGTCAGTGAGGACTGAGGGGACCGACCGTGCGCGGCTATGTGCGCATGCTAAAGTTTGGACTCCAAATTCTGCCACAGAACCGGAACTGCGCGATCAGAGGATACAGGGCAGCGTCAACGCAACAAGCTTTGCTTAGGATGGGCTCTGTCCAATTGTGAATGCCTCCACTCGAAAAGTTTGGACTTTATTTATATAAAAAAGATCAGACGTATGCGGAAAATTTTGAAGACAGGCCACTGACTTATTTTCTTTGGCCGCATTTTCTTGATTCAACGCCATCCCCATCCCCACCTAAATGTGCACTGCAATAATGGAAATGTGTGCAACCAGTTCACTGGCGTCTGCTGTTTAGCGATTTTCCTTGCTTCCTTGTTTTGAGATATATGCAATGACTGTTTCTACTATCCGTGTTTTAAACGTCGCCTGATGTTTCAGGTTTACGTTGATTACGAATGGTCACGGATTGAAAAAATATATTCGATGGGTTACCGTGGGCTCTGTCCTTGTTAATCCCTTCATTCGAAAAGTTCCGACTAAATTTAAAAAAGCCCAGTCAACCGCGGGGGGAAATATGCGACTGTGCAAAAATTGTGCGAGCTACACACATTACACTTTGTTTTTTTATTACAATAACCTCCATCAATATCAAATAATCATATTGCACACCAAAGCAACAACGCCACTGTGCGATTAGAAGGGTACCGGGAACGGCTTCTCCGGCTGCTGGAGAAGCGGCTTGTCGGCAAAGTCCTCCGGCTCCCAGTCCTCGGGGAGGTTGATAACGCAGCCGGTGCAGCTAACGGAGACCAGAAATAACAGTGTCAGCTCAGTACCGCTGGTAGAGACAAAAGCAGTGTCAGTTCAATGCAGACAACGGAGACGATATCAGTGTCAGTTCAGTGCAACTGACAAAGACAGACATCAGTGTCATCAGTGACATCAGTGAAGCGACAGAAATATAACATCGGTGTCAGTTCAGTGCTGGAGCGTTCAGTAAAGCGGCGAGACGATGACAATTACTATCAGAAAAAGGCATGGTGACGGCAAAAAGACATGGAGAATGCATATGCCCTATTTGTATGCCCTATACATTCATGAATGGCACGCCATCAGCATTCCGAAGCGTGAGTAATTCATCCCCCATCACAAGCGACTCACTTGAGCTCCGTCATCTTGCCAATGTTGACGATGTTCTCCATGCCCCTGCCGAGGAAGGTTGAAGCGGCGTGGATGCTGGGCATGACGGGCAGATTGCGCGCGAACGCATACGCCAGAACCGCCTTGGTTTCACCTGTCTCCATGAGACAGTAGAGAGGGCCGTCCATGTCCTCCATTCGGAACTCGGAGGGTGTGACGCTGGCCTGAAACGTGACGGAGTGTGGTGAATTATCAGGGCAAGGGGCAGGCAGAAGGGATGTGGCGCTGGTCAATGGGAGGGGCGCGATGGGCTGGGTACGGGATGGGCAATGGGTGCTGGAGGCTGGTCGCTTGTCGTTTAGTAAAAGTAAAGTAAAACAACGTTGTATGCTATAACAATGCACGGAATCTGGTGGGCGCCAAGCGATCAAATGTTGGCAAAAATATTGGTGAATGGCAAAACATACATACATGTTGGTATGATTGGCATTTGTCAACTCACTCTACGTCTACACCAGACCGTATACCGTCAGACACATTACGATCGATAATACTCTTTTTTTAAATTATTTTGGTAAACGTCAGTCTTTTCTTTTCAAGCCACCATGAAAAAGCTACTAATGCAGACCACCAGTTAGCATCACACTGCTGTCGTTGTCGCTGTGTTCTTACCTGGACCACCAGCAGGCACGACAGGATGAGGGCGGCTGAACGACCCACCATGGCTGCTTCTGACTGCGGTAGGACCACCAGCGGAGTGCAGCAGCGGACGGCCACTGAGCGCTGTGGCCCTGTCGCACCTCTCCAAACCTCGGCACCCCGTCACCACCAGCTGTACAGCCGCCGTAAACGGCGCAGATTCTCGCTAATCGTCGCAAATTGTCGCTAATGGGCAGACTGATGACGGCAGTTTAAAAAGAACATCTGAGGGGAAGCGTCGACAAGTGGAACCGATAATGAGACTCTCAACACGTTTTCATTTACTCTTGATGTTAAAAGAATTTTGACAATAGCTTTACGGTAACTTTCAAAGAACACATTTAATTGATACAGAAGGAACTGGGTACTTACCTAATGAAATTGGTAGGCTAACCAAATCGTGAGGATCATCATCACGTCCCACTAAAGGAATGCCTAAAATGTTAAGACGTTTGCCGTCGATTTTAGTGTACATTATGATACATCTTTATCTCACAAAGTGTAAACAACTAACTCTGACATAATCTCTGACCCAAAATAATTAAATGAAATGCTACTTAGGTAAAGATCATTTCAAGTGACTTCATCGCAAGGAAAAGCGAATGCTCTCCCTGGCTAACCCGAATGAGCGTTTGGTACACACAGAAAAATATTAACACCGAGCTGATTTATTTTACACCAAAGTATTTCATGAATATTGTACAGAGACTACAATTACGCCAAATGCACCATTTAAAGTGAGTGGTATTTTCAAAAGAATGGTCGTACGCTTCCATAACACATCCCTTCTCTTTTTATCGAAGTAGAAATGAAGGTGATTAGTTTATCAAACACCGTTGAGGTACAAAAAGTATATCTAGACTATAAAAAATGGGATCAGTTTATGTACACCGAAGAAGGTATTAAAACGACATCAAAGCGGTACGTTTGCACCTTGAGACCTACAATTACCTTTTAAATACTTTTAAAAGACGCCCGTTACTTCTTAAAGGTGTAAAATATCCGTGGAGGTGTTCTCTAAGTAGCTTACGGGGGTTTCCTTTCGCGCATGCGCAAAAGGACGAATGCGCGTGAGCGTTCGCCGCCATTTTTCTCAGTCTGGTCGGCTGAGGCGTGGAGCGCATTGGCAGTGCTCAGATCATGAAGAATCAGTGGTGTTTATCGAATTGTGCGGTGCATATCATGGAGATAAGTGGAGAATAGAAGTGGAATGGCGTGACTGCAGACTGCAGATACAGCAGTAACAGGATGACTGAGGCGGAAACGTGGAGGAGGCTAGACTGTTTCGATGCGTCCGGTTGCAGGAGCTTTTTCTGAGTGACGTGCGCCTGTCGCGAAGGTAAGTTATAACCCAACTCCGGGAGGGCTCTGGAAGGCTCGGAATCGGGCGGGGGCCTTTTCGACCCCCTTCAGATCTCAAAAACCACTAATCGGAGCGACAAACGGTAAACGGCGTTTGCTAGTTTGTTGAAAGACCTACAACTTTGATACCGTAAAGTGGGGCTATTTGAGACAGTCAGTGGGGCTATTTGAGACAGTAAGGTAGTGGTTTAGTAAAATCGCTGTAAAATGAAAACCGTTTGATATTTCTTATCAATTTTGGCTCAGGGTGATGTGGAATTTAACGATGAATTCCATGGATAGGGGTTTTTGAAAATTTTGAAAATTTTGAAAGAAATTTGGCATGAAACGAGAAATACAGAAAAACACAATTTAAGTTATACGAAAAGTACCCCTACCTGCAGCTTAACATGGTTGAAGGTTTGAAAACTTTACAACCGAATCTATCGTAACTATCGTTTTAGTTATGGGCTAAGCACATTTTTCATGAAAACATTGTATATTGTTAACGGTAGTGACGATTGTGTAACCCAATGTCTCAGAATTCCGATAATACCAACCTCGTCAAACCTCAACGTATGCCAAATACAGCTGATGATTGTGATGCCAAGGCCCTTAAAACAGGTGATGATGTATCCGAAAAGACTTACCGCCGTCTGCCTAAAGTGTATCAAACGTTCGACCTAAGAAACACCGCTGAATCGGCCATGGGTTCATGGTACGTACTTTTAGCAGCAAGCAATATTTGCACATTGTAGCCTAATATGACCAACCAGTTTGTGACGATATTACCTACCTTTGTGAATATGTGCATCAAATGTATTTCATCAGTCACTGACGTGGTTGGTAATCGAGCCATGTCTACTCTGGTTGACCAGAAGGCACCACTGAAGGTTATTATCATGTATAAGTACTGCTAGGTGAGCCTTCAGTATACGTACTTGATGCAGTGCGGTAGCCGGCCATTCGATACAACATGCAGTTATCTAGGAAAATCGGTATATACTCAAAACCGTTTGACCTTTTTCTGTTATTTCTTCACAGGTTGATGTGCAATGGAACAATCAATCATGCATGCCATTCATTCAACGATTTTGAAAACTGATTTCCCCTTTTTAATGCATTGCGGTGTGTTTCATGCAGTAGCGAGACTGTCTCAAATAGCCCCACCAACTTTCGGCCTATATGTTTTATGCCGCCAGAGATAAACACAACAACTTTATTTGAAAATTTCACTGTCGTTGACTTCAAAATAGTCCTATATAATCATCCTGTGATTTTTAAAGCTTAGGGTCACATCATATTATGACAGCCCTAACATAAAGTAATGCAATTTTTTAACAGACCGAAATGCTATATCCAACGAAAAACGAAAAGTTTGATTATGAGGGTTATATAACTGTAATTGAAAGAAATACTTTTTGCCAGAAGTATCAAAATTTGATTTCCAATCGCATGGCATTAAAAGAATTATCCCTGGCTTGAAACATTTTCTTCAATGTCCTTGCAACTAAAACTGTCTCAAATAGCCCCACACTATGGGGCTATTTGAGACAGGCTTCAATTAGAAAAATAACTTTATTTGTGGTTACTAGCTGAACCAAAATGGACCTATCTGAAAGAGGTTACAGAGAACTACGTTTTTGCAATTTACATGCTATAGGAAATATAAACCGTTTTGAAGGGAGAGGCCAAAAACTGTAAAATCCGTTTCAAATAGCCCCACTTTACGGTATATATATTTTTTAGGTCCGGTCAATATTGAGGTCACCAGAGGTCATCAAAAATAAAATGTTTGAAACAGGTACTTCAACTTGCTGGTGATCCACCGGCCGGCCGACCGGTGAACGGCTACCGCCTGAGGCCGCCCACTGGTCACGTGACCGGGCGGTCGGGCGGACGGGGTGCGCCGCGCGGCGGCGAGTAGAATGAGCGGGAGCGCGGAGTCGGGCGAACGCGGTCTGCGGCCGGTTCGCTGCGTTAGGGCCCTTGGTTCTCTGTTTCGGGACTGTCTGTTTGTTTTCGCTAAATCTCATTCTCGTCATTGTATCTTGGTCTAGGTTCTTGCTTTCTTTCCCGTTGAGTACGCGCTACACTTGCTTGACCTTAATAGGTCAACTTTAAAATTTGGCCAAAGAAGATCACGCCGGTCGCTGGATACCAACCAACGCGTCATAACTGCAGGCAAACAGTTTGGTACATTTACAAGTCTTTAGCACCATTCCACTTCGCCGCCGTCGGTCCGACAATCGCGGCCGAGCTCCGGGCGTCAGCGGACGCCGACCCTGGGAACGCTCCCCGGCCGCCGACCGTCTGTGCTGCCGGCTTTTCTCTCCGTCCCGTGACGCTCCCGGAGCTGTCTCGCTGTGTGCGGCGTCTCAGCGCGTCTGCGGCCGTCGGTCTGGATGGTGTGCCGCTGAGGGCCGTTCGGGAGTGTTTTGCGGTAGTAGGTCCACATCTTTTGAAACTTGTTAACCTGTCTGTTGCGACCAAGGTGTTCCCAGATAGCTGGAAAACGGCGTGTGTCGTCCCGATTCCTAAAGCAGGCGACCCGTCGGTACCATCCAACAACCGGCCCATTTCACTCCTAAGCGTTCTGTCCAAGATACTAGAGAAGGTAGTGAGCATACAGCTTACCTCCTACCTGTCCGAGACCAACCTTCTGCATCCCTCTCAGTTCGGTTATAGGTCTCATCACTCGACGGAGGACGCCGTGCTCGTCGCAGTCGATCGCCTGGCCGACGACATCGACGAGGGGCATGTGTCGTCGCTGACGACGATCGATTTGTCTAAGGCGTTCGACTGCGTGGACCACGGCCTCCTCCTCGACAAGCTCTCTTGGTACGGCGTGAGCGATGTGAAATGGTTTGAGAGCTATCTGAGTAATCGAAAGCAAGTCGTGCGAGGCGGGAAGCTGACTCTACCTGTGACATGCGGTGTGCCCCAGGGCTCTATTTTGGGACCGATTCTGTTCGTCCTGTTCACGAATGACATTTACGTAAATCTAACCCATGGCCGCCTTATATCTTACGCGGACGACACCATGCACATAGACAAAGCGCGCCCTGACGGATCGGGCCTTGCCGACCTTAAAACGAGACTTGAGCTCACCATGCGTGAGCTCCAGTCGTGGTTCATGTGTAACTTTCTCAAGATGAATGAGAGGAAAACTGCGTTCATGATCGTGGGAACAAAGCAAAATTTAGTCAGAGCTACCGGTTTTCATCTTCAGGTCGGTGAAACTTTGATAGAACAAGCAAATAGCGTCAAAATTATCGGTGTCACTGTCGATCCTAGTCTGTCATGGAGCGCTCACGTACCAACGGTGATTAAGAAGTGTTATGGCATACTCATCTCGCTGTACAGACTCCGTCACTATTTCACGCAGGCCGCCCTGAAAACCATCATTCAGGCTTATGTGTTTCCTCACCTGACTTGCTGTTTGTGCGTATGGGGTGGGGCGAACAGAGGCCTCCTCCAAAGAATTTAGAAGGTGATAAATTTTGCCGCCCGCGTTATCACCGGCCGTAAGAAATATGAACATGTTACGCCTACACTTCAGTCACTTGGGTGGCCTAGGATTGAGACCATGGTAGCCCGCCGCGACGCCATGAAAGTGTTTAAGGCCCTTACAGATGAGAGAGTGTCCACTGAAGTGCGCGATCTGTTCGTTCGGTGCAGCGATGTGTCAGTACGGGACACACGCGGGTCCTACGAGGGCAGTTTGTACTTGCCCCGTCATCGACTGACCGCCACACAGAGGTCATTTGCGTACCGTGCCGCGTCAACCTGGAACCGACTCCCACCTGCGGCTCGCACCACCACGTCCGTGGCAACTTTCAAAGCTGCTGTGAACTTTTTATGAACATTTTCTCATCATAGTGTGTGTTTTTAAAGTGTATTTCTACGGCGCTTTTAGGCTTACCATTTGTGTTTAATCCCTCATGTTTTTAAAATCTCGTTTAATGTCAGGTCGTTTTAACCACTTATATTCTACCAATGGTGTTCTTTGTGTGTGTGTGGTAATGTATGACGGAAAGCCTGAATAGCCACCATGTGGAAGGCTTTTAAATACACTGATACTGATACTGATACTGATTCATATCGTGATTTACTAGGTGACTTGCTTGCTCCGCGCGCATGATTGGGCCACAGGAGATTTGCAGCAGCCAAACGACGGGATTAGCCAATTCGAGCAGTGAATGTTTATGTGAAATCTAGCAGCAGCGATTTACCTAACTGGGCCAGGGGACAGGTCACAGTAGTTGACATGGCGAATCATTCTGACATGAATTCAGAAGGTTGACAGTGGTAATGCTGGCGTGCTAAGCTACGCTACAAAACAGCCCTGTGTAGGCAGCATGCTCAGTAGGAGAAAAAGAGCAGTGAAGTAGAAGTAGTGTACATGTAGCGGGCTGCTATGGCGATACACAATAGGAAGGCCGATTAGGAAACAGAAGTAAGCAAAGTGTCAAAGCGGCATTAGGCGACACACTGACCGGATTAGACACAGTCAGAATGACTTGCTGGGATTAGCTGGACTGGTCTGGTCCGATTGCCTGGCAGAGCTTATCGGATCCGGGGTTTGTTGGCGTCAGCTGCGGTTGCTGGCGGCAGCCGGTGTCGATGACTGACGGCCCTGCTGGTTAACTGCATGGTGGCGAGAAATGTAGTCAGGGACGGCATAAGGAAGTCAAAAGGCTCGGAGTCTTAGCCAGGCATAGTTCAGGGTCGCCGTGCCGGGGTGATGGATAGATTGTGGGTTTTATAGGGAACATCAAGGTCGGCTCCGCACACTGAACACAGCCTGTTACCAGGGTGCACTGTCGTGGAAGTGCTCCGAGCGCGCACCCCGCCCTTAACACGTTTTTAAAGTAACTTTGAAATATGAGCATGATTGGGCCACAGGAGATTTGCAGCAGCCAAACGACAGCCAAATATGATTTGAGCACAATGAAATGAGTTAAGCACACTGAAATGTCAATGTCAGCCTCCTGATGAACTTACGTTAACGATGTCAAACTTTTAGTATAACGGTTAAGGGCCCGTTACGTCAGCGCGTACCGGCACACACACACTCACCCGCCATCATTCACCACTCCAAATACCTACAGCACCGAAAGGGTTAAGCACAGGATGCAGATGCAGCCACGCACTCACTCACTGGCACTCCCAGACGTAAGACTCGCCCCGCAGCGGTTTAGACTCCCCCTATCAAGGGGTGAAGTGTCCGATCGATCACACGACACGGACTACAGACGTTCACACGTCTGAAAGGGGGTCTCACAACCAACAGCGACGCGCTAACATTTCCAGACTAAAAAATCCCAGCACACGGACCACCAGCCGTACCACACGACTGACCACAGGAGTATCTGACCGCTCTTGGACGCCGCCGCCTGACTATACTTCCGATAACGTTTAAGATTACGCCCGATGACGCACCCGCTTCCTAACGCCCAATACGATTGGCCGCAGCCTACAGTTGGCCGTCGACATTGACCACCCGGACAGTCAGAGTGGCCCTCCCACTCAAGGAGCAAGGGCTTCCTCCGGCCACTCCGGGCTCAACGTCATAGCAAGGGTGAAGGACGGCACAACGCGGGGTACATCCGATCGTCGCTCGACAACCGAACTAAGATAACGCCCCATAACGCACCCGTATGACGCCCGATCCTGGCGCGCGCACCTCAAAGAACCTCTCTGTATACGACATTCCGCGTGCGATGGTTGTGCGTGGAAAGCACCTCGACTGAATCAAAGCTGCCTACGCGCGAGAGAGCCACGTAGAACTGGCCATGAGTGAAGGCCGGGGATGGCAGATAGATGCCCACGCGTCGCTTAGTCTGCCCTTGGCAGCGATTGATGGTCATGGCGAATGACAGCTTGACGGGGAACTGACAGCGGCGGAATGGTCGGCCGATGCCGGAATCGACAGCGCTCACCACCAGAGGGAGGCGCGGCAAAAACAGCGTCTCGCCGCGCGCGACTCCACTGGCGATTCGCAGCTCGAGCACGTTAGGCGCGGCGCGCAGCACCGTGCACAGCGTGCCGTTCACGACGCGTGGAGCATCGAGGTTGCGCATCAACACGACCGGGGCGCCGACCTTGACCTGAAGTCGATGCGACGGCATGCCCGACACGTCGATGGCATTGAGCACCTCGGTGGGCACCGGAGGCCCGTGATCCTCGTTGTCGTCGTCACTGATGGTGTCGACGCTAGCGTAGTTGACTGTTTCGCCGGGAAGAAGGGCCAGCGCGGCCTCGTTCGCCCTGTCAACGGTCGCATTTAGCGGCGAGAGGATGGCGCGCTCATGCAGCCACTCCTCATCACGGTGTCGCTCGGCCATGTCAGGGAAGATGCGATCGACCAGCGCGGCGAGACTGCGCGCGGGACTGACCACCAACTCGGGCACCTGCACCGTGTCCGGCTGTGCCACGACGGGCAGCCGGCCGTCGCCGACGCGCAGCAGGAAGTTGGCGAACTCACCGGCCTGATCATCGCCGTTCAGCGCCCGCATGTTGGTCGCGAGCTCCATGGTGTCGATCCGAGGCCACATGGGCGATGACTTGAGGCAGGCGTCAACAACCTCTGCGCGCCCGCCGCGCTTCACCACTGGCAGAATCTGTCTCCAGTCGCCAGAGAGCAGCGTCAGAACGCCGCCAAACAGCTCTTGCCTGTCGCGGACGTCTTGGAGAGCCCGGTCGACCGCCTCAGTGGCGCGCCGGTTCGTCATGGCCGCTTCGTCCCACACAATGAGGCGACAGCGGCGAAGGTAGTCGGCCTCGGGAGAGCGGCGATCAATGCCGCAGACGTTCTCGTTGTCAGGATGCAGCTGCAGAGGGATCTTGAACCGATGATGGGCAGTCGTGCCGCCCTCCAACAAACTGGCTGCGATGCCGGATGTGGCCACTGCAACTGCCACGCGCCCCTGACTGCGGACCTTGGCCAGCAGCAGGTTCTCCAAGAACGTCTTCCCGCAGCCGCCTGGAGCCTGCAGGAAGATGACACCCGACTCGTCGTTGTCCAGCCGTCGCATCACCTCGTCATAGACGGCGCGCTGGTCATCAGTCAGACGCGGCTCGTCGCGTTCAACGCGCTCGGCCAGAGCGACCGGGTCAAACTCGGGGCCGCCGGGCGGCTCGTCGTCGTCGCTATCGGCGGCGGCGGCGGGGTCCAGCACCGGTGGAACTGGCAGCCCGTACTCGGCCAGGGATTTGCCGTGCAGCCGGCGCAGAATGCCAGCGATCCTGCGCAGCGCCTGCTCGCGCACTTCGTCCTCGGTGAGACCGCGTCTGCCAGCTGCGCGAGCGGTGTGCTGACGGCGAGCGATGTCCTCCGACATGGCGTCCCGGAACCTCATCCACAGCGCCATGGGATCGCACGTAGCCTCTCCCTCGATCAGAATCAGAGCGAAGAGGAAGCGCAAACCACCTGGAAAACGCGTCACGGTCGCCTCCTCCATAGCGCGCGTCCAGTGCGCTCCATCCTCGAGCAGCCCCAGTGCGGAGCACGCCTCACGCATGGTGGCACACACGCGGCCATCGACCGTGCGGAGGTGCTCGTAAGAGCGCGGACCTCGGACGTTGAGGAGGAGCAGGCGAAGAAAGAAAACTTCCCCCGCGCGCGGCGTCGTGGTGAACACGCGCGACAGCGTGGCAGCGGCGAACACGCCCGGCACCTCGGGATGAGGCTGGCCTTGGAGGCGCCGTCTCCAGTGGGCCGGACGGGCATCTGCGCCCCGGCCGCGTCGTGCCTGCCACGTATAGTACCGCGGCACCTCTGTGTAGAGGAGCGTCGCCGCGAACTCGTCATGCTGGCACAAATCGAAGAAGGATGTCAGCATGGAGGGATTGGCCTGCTCGCCCGCCAGGACGGCTTCCAGATTTGCGTCGCCACGGAACACGACGCGCCTCTCATCGTCAGCCAGATGAAGCTGCAGCCGCTGGACTGGCGGATAATGGACATGGATCGGCCGCTCGGCCAGCCGCCACGATGCCTCCATGGACCCAAGGTACCGACTGTCCCTGTACTGGGCCACCTCGTCGATCACTCCGTCTGGCTGAACCGCAAACATGATCCTATCAGAGCCCTTGGTGACATACTTGATGCAATAGCGGATCGCCCCCATCGCGTGCGTGATTACCTCGACGTTGACATGGGAGTCCAGCGCGCGAAGGATGTGAGGATTGTAGGGGACGATCCAGCGGTTATCGATCTCAACACCGCGCCGGCCGGGCGTCTGCGCACGTCGACCGCCGTCTTCCGGCGCGCGCCGCCTGTACTTCGGATAGCTGCGCTCTGGCAGCTCTGTGGCCTCCAGGTACGGCCGCGGATATCCGACGCTGCATCGGCCGTCCTTCATGCAGACAGATTGCGGGTTCAGCGCACCGCACGGACCGTGCACCATCTTGGCGCAGACGATCGCGTGAAGCTCTGGATCAGTCTCCGGATCGGGCAGCTCAGCGCACACGCACGCGTCCACGTCTTCTGCGCGAGGCTTGTCGGCGGGCACGACCCACAGCAGGATGTGAGCGTGCGGCAGGCCACGCTTCTGCCACTCAATCGTGTGCAGAATGGCCCGCTGCCGACCCAGGATGCCGCCTCGCAGCTGCTTCAGCAGCGCCTGCAGCTTCAGGCCAAACACCTGACTTACAATGTCAGGGTGGTCGCACGGCCGATCGTGGTCACCCGGCCTCTCCCCCGGGTAGAGGGTGCGCAGAGTTCCCTCAATCTCTGGCCAGGCCGGGTTGCACGTCACGGTGATGAAGAAGTCGGCCGCGCCGAATTCTCGAACGTAGCAGAGCGCGTCCTGCAACTTGGCCATCATGTAGCGAGGGCTACCGGTCACGGATGCCGGCAGCACCACACGTCGACCGACGGCTCGCGCGTGCTCCTCGCCGTCAGCGAGCGCGTCACGCACACCACGGATTGTCTCAGCACGGAAGCCATTCAGGCCATCCTGGTGGGTGCGCACATAGGACAGACGGTCGGCTTCGACCTTGAGCAGGGTGTCTACCAGGTACTGTTGGTACAGTCGGCCGCCTCTTGGAATGAGATTAAAGTGGCCTGGTCGGTAGCGCATGTGGAACGCCGCGTACTGACGCATTGTGACCCCACGCTCGGTCTTCAACTGGAGTGACCACCCGTCAGTGCCACGCGGGTGCAGCAGCACATAGAGTAGCGGATCGTACTGGCGACTCAGCTCGCTGATACGGGACAGCCGTCCGCCGCGCTCGCGTACGACGATGTCGCGTCGACCCCCCATCTCATCGGGCATTAGGACTGCCACCTCGCGACCTATCGGAAGATTGAACCGACGCTCGTGCTCCGACCGCGGCCGGTGTTCGGCCGACAGAACGATCCGACAGTTCGGCACACCGCGCGCCATCATCAAAGCCGGCTGGAGCGCACGCACGTAGTTGTTGTGCTCGTGCAGCATGCCCATCAGGATGTTAAGAACGACTCTGTCCAGACCGCCACACATGTTGGCACGTCGCTCGGTGGCCTCGTCGGCGTCCAGGAAATATATCTGCATGAATTGCTCGTCGCCTTCGCGAACGGGCAGAAGAGCTCCCATGCGGTGGCAAACGTTACCCTGAACGGTGAAGGCCGCGTGGTAAGCTCCGTCGTGTCGCACAACGTTACATCCCATACTGGCCAGCTGAAAGGCCGTGTTGTAAGCGCGGATTTTCTCGCGAAATTCTCGATAGTATGGCGTGCCAGGGGTCATGAGTTCCACCAACTCGTCCGGCGGCGGGGGATGGAAGTCAAGCTGCACCTTACCCTGATGGCAACAGGCGCCTACGGGCTCGGCACGCCAGCGCAGCGCTCCGCAATGGGCACAGACAGTGTCCATTCGGCCCAGCTGCATGCCAGCCGGCGGCTCGAACTCGGCGGGGACATAATTGCGAGCCAGCAGGTGCTGGTCGCCGCGACGACGGGCGGGCGCGTCCGCCGGAGCCTGCCCATCAGCGCCGCCCACTGCCTCCGCGTCGTGCGCATCGGCCGCGGGCCGGCGCGCCGCTGCGCCGTCTGGCGCATCGACCGCTGCCGCTTCGACAGCGTCTACAGCACCGTCGGGCGGGTCGGGCGGGTGGGGCGCCGCCTCTCCTACAGCGCCGCCCACTGCCTCCCCGTTGGGCGCATCAGCCGCGGGCCGACGCGCCGCTGCGTTGTCTGGCGCATCGGCCACTGCGGCCTCGACAGCGTCTACAGCACTATCAGGCGGGTGCCGCGCCGCCTCTCCTACAGCGCCGCCCATTGCATGCGCGTCGGGCGCATCGGCCGCGGGCCGGCGCGCCGCTACGCCGTCTGGCGCATCGGTCGCTGCCACCTCGACAGCGTTCACAGCACCCTCGGGCGACGGCGGCGCGGGCGCGACGTCCGCGATATCACCCACCACCGGCGGTTGGAACGCGACCGGTGGTTCAACCGGTTGGTCCGCCACGCCCGCAGCAACAGGTGGCTCAAGACCTGCGCCGTCTCCGCCTGCCCTGACCTCAGCGCGAGCCGCAGCCATGCCCTCACGATTGCGTCGCCGACGCTCGGCGAGCTCAGCCTCCGATTCCAGCTCCTCCGCGTCGGGCGCATCGGCCGCGGGCCGGCGCGCCGCTACGCCGTCTGGCGCATCGGTCGCTGCCACCTCGACAGCGTTCACAGCACCCTCGGGCGAGGGCGGCGCGGGCGCGACGTCCGCGATATCACCCACCACCGGCGGTTGGAACGCGACCGGTGGTTCAACCGGTTGGTCCGCCACGCCCGCAGCAACAGGTGGCTCAAGACCTGCGCCGTCTCCGCCTGCCCTGACCTCAGCGCGAGCCGCAGCCATGCCCTCACGATTGCGTCGCCGACGCTCGGCGAGCTCAGCCTCCGATTCCCGCTCCTTCCTGAGTCGTTTACGTTCGCGATCCCGCTCACGTCGCGCGGCCGCGACGTCCGCGGCAAGAATGACCGGCGGCTGGGCCCCTGACGGACCGGCAACCGGCGCTGCATCGACCACTGCCTGATGGGAAGGGCCCGCGCCACCTGTCTGGCCTCTCTGTCTGGCACGGGCCAGAGCCCTACGTTCACGATCACGTTGCAGGCGAAAAAGTCGCTCAGCCTCAGTTTCCCGCTCTCGGGCGAGGCGCTGACGCTCGCGTCTTTGCGCCCGTCTCGCGGCCGCGGCGTCCACCGGCGGATCTACGGACTGACTGTTACGTTGACCGTTTTCAGCTGCATCACCATCGACCATCAGACCGTCAGCGCGCCGAGCCGCCGTCTCCGGCGCTGACCCCGGGGGGTCGGCGGCGGTCGGGCGATCCGGCGACGCAGGCGGAGGTGTTTGACCTGGCATTGCGAGCAATTCTGGAAATGGATAAGAGAACGGAGTTACGATGAGGACGGAGGACCTGCAAAGAGGAGGCAAATAGGCAGCACTGACTTCTCTTCCCCATAATCCATAGCATTGTTTATTATCAATAATCTTAAATGCAACACAATGTAAAACATCCCTGATGGGAAAAACAAATGCTCGAGAGCCTGTGATAATAGCTATCATTGGAAAAAGCATGTTAGCAATATTTCCCAGTCAGAGTTACCCGCGGCCGTTTTTTGCGAAGTTATTCAACAAAAACTGAACAGTACCTTGGCGAACTTGGCCTGACCTCAGAGGTCACCGTTTGACCTAGGACCGTAAAATCGGGTACCAATCTCTGCGTCTCGTAACGGCGCACACGCTCGTTTTTTCCGCGACGCGCTAGCTCTACCGAGGGCGAAATGGCGAGGGGGGAGTCGTACCCGCCCCCCCCCCCTAGGCCGGCGCGTATTGAAAAAGTGAACCTTCCATCAAAACTTACATTACAATACATTTTACACATACATTTTAAGCACCAAACTGCCACCTGCTGAGTGAGGTAAGGTTGGGCTATGTTAGGTAGGATTTGGTCAAGGCAGGTTTGGTTGTGCAAATTTCAATTTGGTCAAGTTTCTAAGTCAACTGATGACTGGCTGGAGATCATCAAAATGTATATCGTCTAACAGGAAAAAAACTTTTGCAGAATGAAAAAGTCAACCTTCCATCAAAACTTACATTACAATACATTCTACACAGTACACATAAATTTTAAGTACCAAACTGCCACCCGCTGAGTGTGGAAAGGTTGGGCTAAGGTTGGGCTACATTAGGTAGGATTTGGTCAAGGCAGGTTTAGTTGTGCAAATTTCAATTTGGTCCAGTTTCTAAGTCAACTGATGACTGGCTGGAGAGAATCAAAATGTCTATCGTCTAACAGGAAAAAAACTTTTGCAGAATGAAAAAGTCAACCTTCCATCAAAACTTACATTACAATACATTCTACACATAAATTTTAAGTACCAAACTGCCACCCGCTGAGTGAGCCCCCCCCCCCCCCCCTAGGCCGGCGCGTATTGAAAAAGTCAACCTTCCATCAAAACTTACATTACAATACATTTTACACATACATTTTTAAATACCAAACTGCCACCTGCTGAGTGAGGTAAGGTTGGGCTACGTTAGGTAGGATTTGGTCAAGGCAGGTTTGGTTGTGCTGGCTGGAGATCATCAAAATGTATATCGTCTAACAGGAAAAAACTTTTGCAGAATGAAAAAGTGAACCTTCCATCAAAAATATATTTTACACATACATTTTTAAATACCAAACTGCCACCTGCTGAGTGAGGTAAGGTTGGGCTACGTTAGGTAGGATTTGGTCAAGGCAGGTTTGGTTGTGCTGGCTGGAGATCATCAAAATGTATATCGTCTAACAGGAAAAAAACTTTTGCAGAATGAAAAAGTCAACCTTCCATCAAAACTTACATTACAATACATTCTACACAGTACACATAAATTTTAAGTACCAAACTGCCACCCGCTGAGTGAGGAAAGGTTGGGCTAAGGTTGGGCTACGTTAGGTAGGATTTGGTCAAGGCAGGTTTGGTTGTGCAAATTTCAGTTTGGTCCAGTTTCTAAGTCAACTGATGACTGGCTGGAGAGAATCAAAATGTCTATCGTCTAAGAGGAAAAAAACTTTTGCAGAATGAAAAAGTCAACCTTCCATCAAAACTTACATTACAATAGGTACACTCTACACATCAATTTTAAGTACCAAACTGCCACCCGCTGAGTGAGCCCCCCCCCCTAGCCCGGCGCGTATGGAAAAAGTCAACCTTCCATCAAAACTTACATTACAATACATTTTACACATACATTTTTAAGTACCAAACTGCCACCTGCTGAGTGAGGTAAGGATGGGCTACGTTACGTAGGATTTGGTCAAGGCAGGTTTGGTTGTGCAAATTTCAATTTGGTCCAGTTTCTAAGTCAACTGATGACTGGCTGGAGATCATCAAAATGTATATCGTCTAACAGGAAAAAACTTTTGCAGAATGAAAAAGTCAACCTTCCATCAAAACTTACATTACAATACATTCTACACAGTACACATAAATTTTAAGTACCAAACTGCCACCCGCTGAGTGACGAAAGGTTGGGGTAAGGCTGGGCTACATTAGGTAGGATTTGGTCAAGGCAGGTTTGGTTGTGCAAATAAACTGCCACCCGCTGAGTGAGGAAAGGTTGGGGTAAGGCTGGGCTACCTATGTTGGATAGGATTTGGTCAAGGCAGGTTTGGTTGTGCAAATTTCAATTTGGTCCAGTTTCTAAGTCAACTGATGACTGGCTGGGGAGAATCAAAATGTCTATCGTCTAACAGAAAAAAAAAATTTGCAGAATGAAAAAGTCGAGTTTCCATCAAAGCTTACATTACAATACATTTTACACATAAATTTTAAAGTACCAAACTGCCACCTTCTGCTTTAAATTGATGGAGGCAAAATATTATGATAGGTACATCAATTTCATGAAAAGCAGCATGCATGCGTCACGTTTGCCATGCAGCTTGCCTTTTGTAGTAAATAAGCCTTTATATACCAAAACCACCTATGAAAATCGTCCCAGTAATTAACAACATCTCTCAATATTCCTTAACGATCAAATGTAATCTGTGGCACCCTTCAAATTCAAAATAGTTATTCATCAAAATCACTATGGCGCATCCGACACCAAGCTCACCCGTGTCAAAACACAATGGATAGATTATTTTTAACAGCAGACTTTCTCATAAAGGCAGTCACAGTAGACAAAATACAGGCCAAAACTAACAACTTCTGCCTTAAACTGATGTAGGCAAAATATTATGATAGGTACATCAATTCCATGAAAAGCAGCATGCATGCGTCACGTTTGCCGCGCCGCTTGCATTCCAAAGTAAATAAGCCTTTATATACCATCTCCACCTATAAAAATCGTCCCAGTAATTAACAGCATTTCTCAATGTTCCTTAGGGATCAAATGTAATCCATAACACCCTTCAAATTCAAAATATTCATCAAAATCACTACGGCGGATCCGCCACCTAGCTCACCCGTGTCAAAACACAACGGCCGATTTAGTGTTGAAGATTAGCCGCATTGGAAGAAATTAATATTTCGCGATTGCAGGTACTCTGACCAGCCTTAATAATCCTAGTTTATTTTTTCGAAGGAAGAGTTTGACGTTCTTATATTTACATCTTCGTCTTTTGTTCAATTCCACTCCCTCTCGGTCTCCACTAACCTGCATTTCTGGCGCGTCCGGGTTCGCCCGGTGAGGAAATCCGGGCGGTCCAGTACGGGCGAGACGCCGGCGCGCGGCGGCGCGGACGGCCCGTCACAACTCACAGAAGGTACAGACGGGAGAGGATCGGAATAAAACATTCGTACCTATATCTCGGCGGCAGCGTGTATTGAGAAAAAGAGACGATTTCATGATATATTCATTGTTGCATTACGCAGCACGCTTATCACATGTACATTGCACACTGTCGCCGGGCCGGCCGGTGGAATTTTCCAGCCGTCGGCCGGCCGCCGGCTGCCGGAATCTCCGGAACGGCGGTGCGGTCGCACACAAAAGCACGTGAATCGGCCGCATTCCTGTGTCTGAGGCCAATGCTTAAGAGATATGTGGTTCCGCGGCTATCTCGCAGGCCCTAAGAGAAAAAGCTCGCTGCAAAAACTGAGCGTTTCAAAAAACCCGCAAACCGACGCAAATAGAATAGTTATATTAGCTAAAAACCATTGATGACGTCACATGACCTTGGATGACCCTTCCCAGTATCCCTGTCAGTAAATGGCATCTGAGTCATTACAGATAAGATAATCTGTCATAATCCTGAAAGAATCCGATGGTTTTGACTCGTTTACTCAAAGCAGGACACATTTCAGTATTTTCACATAGACTTGTAATGTAAAGATCACGACTCTGGCCTGACCTCAGGTCACAGATATGCAAATTCTTATATATAAAAATTACAAATACTGGTACTGTAACCATGACCTGAAGAGAGGAAATCGATCCGTGAAAAACTCTAGCTCTGACGTGATTGCAAACGTTTTTGAGGTGGGGTAAAAAAACCCGCTCTGGTGACCTGACCTGACCTGAAACGGCATTTTTTGCTGAAATTTGCGTATTTAACATTTAGGAAAAGTCACCAAGTATGAGCTGAATACCCCCGCCCGGAATAGGCTTAATACCTGTCAAGACCGTGTTTTTATTTCCGGAGGGTATATGAAAGTAAATTGCGAATCAAGTATCGAATGACTGATCAAAGTACCTAAATAGGCATTACATGAAGGATCGTTAAATGAGCGCGGGTCTTCTGGCTTGTTTCAGAGTCAGCCAAAGCTGTGGGACAGCTTCGTGGACTTATGAGCTGTTGTGATCACGGCCAGCCAAACAGTGGCGAACTCCAACGAGACGGCGTCGAAGTGATTGATACAGGACAATAATCT